GGTGAAAATTTCTGACAAAAAGCAAGAAAGAAAATGAAAAAGGAGAAAAAAAGGATATAACTTCAAGGTTTCACCAAAGGATATATCTTCAAAAAAAGGATACCAAACTGATGGCAATCAAGAACCAAACTAACAATTATCATAAATGAAATTTGGCTCTAAAGACAAATTGATTGCGACTTGTAGTGCGGAAGCATTTAATCTAGAAAAGCTTAAAGATAGGTATGATAATTTGCCTCTTTTGAGAGAGGTCTTATGATAGACCACCTATGAAATAGATGGGATGGTAATATGCTCCAAGAAACTAATGTATAAATCCAACTTGTGGAAGATTACATTGATTATAAAGTTTCACCTTTCTAAAAACTATGAATCAAGAACCTTGACTCTGAAAGAATCAACACCAATAATCTAAAGTGAAAGAACTGCGATAGCTATGAACGCCACAATTGAAAGAAGTACTTTTCAATTGATAAATCTCGTAGGAAACACAAAACAGAATTTTGTAATGACCCGTCAAGTGAGGTAACAACCCAACAATAATTTTAATGAAAAATCAACTTATTTACAATGAAGAATGTGGTCCCTATTTACAGGAGAAGAGGGAGCACGAAATTTGGACTCCTGAAATGATAGATAAGAATCTCCCAATCATCCTAATCCCATATTCTAAGGAAATAAGATAGGGATTGACAATTAGGACTCTTAATCTTATCTAATCTACCTTTCCATCTTGAACTCAAAAAATACAATGAGCTAATAAGAAATAAAATATAAGATTCCTAATACAAAGAGATAATCTCCAAAAAGATTCTTTCATGCGATAAGATAAAATCTCCCTTGAGTATAAACTCTATCATTTTCTTCTTTGTAGAGTGACAATAGCCATCCATCTTGATGCATATCCATCCAATGATGTATTAGACATCAAATTGAAGACTTTTTATTGAAAAAAAAATCAGCAAAACTCGAAATGAAGTAAAATGACAATTTTGTCATTTTTAGTAAAAAGACAATTTCGCCCCTGGGATTTTCGGCCCTTATAGAGATCTTCCTGGATTGAACTTCTTATCATGATTCTCACTCTTGATGCTATCAAATAATCAACAAGTATCAATGCATCACGCAAAGTATTAGATATTTGTGATGTAAGAAATCATAGACAAATAGGTAAATAAGATCACTTTCTAATTATCGAATCACCAGAATTAGTACATAAATCAACACAAATCACTAATATCTTGTCATATCCAAAAATATGATAATATTGTATATGGCAATGACTACTTGATGAAAGAGAACCAATGAGCTACAATATGCAAAGATTTTATGTTTGAAGGGACAAGAAAAAGTGTGAAGCATGAAAAGAATAGGGGCGGCCAGGGAACCTGAATATATGATAAAAGATACACAACAAGAGGAGATGAAAAAGGAAGAGGTAAGATTGAACACGAAAAAAAAGAGTGTTCGCATTGCCAAATTCAAACGATGACATGCAACTACAATATATATTGTGTCTTCCCTAAAAGAGCAAAAGATTCACCAATTCGAAAACCATGAAAGGCAGTTTTTTTCTTTCCATTTTTTGTGTTTATTTGTCACACCAACGTCTTTTTTACTAGAGTGACATATAGTGAGATTAAAAAGTCTCAAAGACATGAGAACTAAGAAGCATGCAAGGGAATTGAATCTCCATTGGGGTCACTGTAGAAAGCATTACTAAGAAAAATCATGCTTAAAAAAAGGGTATGATGATTCTTTTGAAACTTGAATAAATATTATTATGATGACCTTTATCCTTATGCATGGGTCAGTCATTAATTAGTGGTTGTGGTCGGAATCTTATTGCACTCCAAAGTAATTCTGTATTTCTTATGTTATCTTTTGCTCACGACTAATGAAAATTCAAACAAGACAATCATTTTAAGAAGGAATGAGTATTGAAAAAAACATAGTCTTTTTTTTGAGTGCAAATTGCATCCAGCGTTCTAGTCTCCATTCATTTATTGCATCTCAATTTTTAGCATTTTAGCATGTTAATTTTTCTTATTCGTAACTTATTTCTAGGAGTAGCAAGGTAAGAGTGGATATTTTCTTCCTAATTGCCTGTTCATGGGTGGGTCAAAATATAATTGCTATAATTCACTAGGGATGATGTCGAAATCAATCAATTCCTTAGAATAATAATTGAAAATCCATATTTTACATAATACAAAATGATAGCTAAACACTAAAAAGGAGGAACAACGGCAGAGACAACAAATGATTAATACTACACTTGATAATTAGCTTTTCCTTGGCGTCGCCTACGCCATCACTATTGCCTTCTTAGCTAGTTTCTCCATTTGAGAAGCGGAAAATCCTGTAAGAATAGTAACTTTGAACACATCCCACTTAGCGCTAGCTTCCATCAACTCAAAACAAAACAATGTTATTTGATAACTATAAAAACCAAACAAAGAAAAAATTCTCTCTCTCTATATATCTCTCTCTCTACATAAATATATATATATATATGTGTGTGTGTGTGTGTGTGTGTGTGTGAGTCCGAATGAAATACTATGGTCCAATTTATTGTTTTTAAACTAACAATTCAGTTAAAATACCTCAATAAAAAATTGACACATGTTACATTGCTATAGGCTGAAAAGTACTGTAAAACTCCCAAATTTACACCACCTATCATTCAGGTAACAAAAAACCAAATTGACCAAGAAGAAAATTGCTCATCTATGAAATCAAAATTTATCCAGATATCCCCTAAAATCATTATCTCCTTCATCTTTTCCTTTTTTTCTTCCTTTTCTTGTTTCCTTGTAAGCAACTTTTTTCTCAAGGAGTTTCTTTTGTTCTAACAATCATAGTTTGGATAATGCTTCTTCTGAATTCAATGGCAATAATAAAATTGCAACAGTTTTATGTTTTATACAATCAATAGTTTTCAATTCCTTAATAACAATTTTCAAATGCATTACTCTATCAAACTTAAGGGAGTTGTTGATTCCATTCCCTTTTCGAGGAACCGGACCTTCAGTCTTCTTTTTTTCTTTTTCAAAATTAGGTGGCCCCAGCGAGAATCGAACCCTCGACCTCCTGGTAATAAATAACTTCCATCTTAATCCCCTAACTACCCCACCCAATTCTCCCACCCAACTACATCTTCAGTGGTTCATGGAATATATTTATTCAAAACTAAAAAGATGAAACGTTCTCAAGCCCCCTAAAAAGTTTTTTTGCGTATTCGTTCACTTTCCCGTCACAGTTCCGTCCAAAAATGAACTGTCAACCTTGGAGCACGCAGAAGGTATGTGTGTTGACCAAGGGTAGTGATCGTCCAAACAAAAATCTGATACCCTCCTGTTGCACGTGACTTGCAAGTGCTTCCCGCCAAGCACAAATTATCAAAATTTGAATTTTAAATTTCAATATTAACTGCCAAAATGAGGCTGGTTCAATCGCCGGTTGGAGTTTGACCCGCTTAAATTTTCAGTGTGCCGAACCGGCCGGTAATGGGTGGAATTTTTTTTTTTAAAAAAAAAGATGATGGACATAAATCTGGGCCATCATCAATCTTAAATGAGCCCAATTTCAAAATATTTGAGCCCAGATGAATCCAATGTTGAAATGAGCCCATACCTAAACTCTGAAATTTCTAAATACCCACCCGAATCAAATCATCACCCCTTTTTTCATCTCCCCGATCTTCTGGAAAAAATCGACGAAAACATCACCAAAATCAATTCACCTCCCCTGTTTTCATCTCCCCGGTCTTCTGCAAAGAAATGATGGCAAAAAAAAGTTGAATCAATTCATCTCGCCCGCTGTCATCCCCCCGGTCTTCTGGAAAAAAATGACGGCAACCTCACCCCCAAAAGGCAATTTTCCTCCAAAATTGAAAACAAATTCATCTAAATTGTGAATAAGATATGGTGATCTCCATCCCCCAGCCTTTTCCAGAACATTCGGTATGCTTTTGTTGATTGCCAGCCGAGCTAACTGCGTCGAAGACGTCGACTAATCCTGGACAAAAATTCTTCGGATGCCCATGATATCATTTTGGGGCTTCATGTGGATTCGTTGATTGGTTTGATTCAAAACGGTGTGCAAGATGTATTCAGTTGCTGCCAGGGTTTTTTCAAGCCTTAATTAAGAGAAGAGAAGAATTGGCAGAGAAGAACGTGTTACTATCGCAGAAGGATGATTTGCTAGCCGTGAAAGACATGCTATTGGTGGAGAAAGAGCCAATGCTGATTGAATTGTGAATGTGGATATTGAATGATTTAACCGGAGTCGATGAATTACTGGGATGTTCTGTAATCGTGGTATGTAGTTGGTTAAGGTCCTCCAAATGTGGGTTATGCAGTAAATTTGTGTAGTGTTGGTTCATTTTTTACTCTTTCTCAGATCATCGTGTTTAGGCAAGTCATGTAGTGATTGTTTTCATGGTTCTTTTTGTACTCTTAGTCAGATAGTTTGAATTTGGTAGCTAGGCGTTTAGGCAACTAATGTAGTGAGTTGTATTTTGTAATTTATCAATGAAATGTTGAATCGTCGTGTGTCATTCGTCGTATTTGTAATCGTCATGTTTTTCTAATTTTTGGACTGTCGTATTTTATTATTGTTGAAGCATCCAAATCAGTCAGCCTTTGTGTTTGTAATTTATCGATCAATCCAAAATAGTCGACCTTTGTGTTTGACATTGTACTATGATTAAATACATGAGTGAAAACTCTAAATTAGAACAAACCTTAAGGTAATAAAACACAACATATGGCAAAATTTGATGGTTATCATCAACCATCTGCATTGACATACATTTATATTAAACATCCAGTCACAATTGCTACATAAACCATAAAATTAAGATTCACCCTATAGTTACTAATAATTCCATCTTTTCTGTCTGTTTGATGGATTTTCCAACCAGCACGTACCCTGGAAAAGTAGTTACATAAAAAACTGCAAAAGTAACATAAGGCAAAAGGAACCGGAGCAAGTCACTACTTTATGTGAGGATCAACACCGTGGAAGGTTTTGGCCTTTTTCCTGCTGAGGCATGTTCCAACATCTTCCTCACTGCCATGTCCATCAACAACAAGCTTGGACTTAACAACAGCTAGCCTTACACTGGTTCTCCTCGGTGTGAAAGGGGCTGAATTTCTGCGGTTTGTCTTGACTTTGTTGGCAGCTGGTGAGCTTACAGGAGATGTGAGAATTACAAGATCTTCTGACTGATCATCTCAATTGTCCAACAGAGTCACATCTGTTATTATCGATTTTGGCTCAGGAGACTTTTTGTCAGTAGTAGGAGTTTTAGATTTGAATCCAGGTCCATCTACAACATAGTACACCAAAAAGTGTTCATCACATCTTCATGTATTCACAAAGCACTGGAACCCTAATTGAAGTACTTATTCATGAAGGACCAAAATTTTTTTAGCAAACTTATCTGTTTGGGCAGTCTTGTCCACTGGAAACCTCATAACTTGGTGGCTGCTCATCCACATTGGCAGAAAAAATCACATCTGAATATTTTGGATCAAGCCCAACAGTATTTTCAACAAACTTTTGAGCCACTAGTTCATCATATTTTGAAGGATTCATTGAACCCAGCTCCATCTACAAACACATAATACATAATGCAGGTCACAATACATCATGGAAACATTGAAATAAAGAAAACTAAATCATCATATAGGGAGAAAAATTGAACCTCTGATATAGGGCAATCCTCTCTGAGATGTCTAAAGTAATTGCAGCGATCACATTTGTATTCAAGTTTGGGACAGTTGTCATTATCATGATTATTGCTTCTGCAAAAGTCACATCCCTCATGCTTATATCCATCATCAGGTAATAAATATCCACTAGGTTCATAATGAGGTGGCGCACCAGGGGTACTGAAAATCTGCAAATGTGTATCAAACTTATTTAAAAAACATGTCATCATCCATTGTAATAAACACAAAACTAAAAGTATGCATTAAGTTTATCACTTTCAAAATCTCATCACCATGAAGGAAATTTTCAGCATCTCGAACTGGACAATCTATTATTTTGTGGTTAAGCTAGTGGCAGTAGTCACATTGCACCACACTCGAATTCACAGCAAATATATCAACCACACTTACTGCTTTGGATGTCTTTCTTGCCAATAGTGGACATATGGACCTGAAATATCCACTTTGCTTGCAACTCTTACAAAAGGACTATGGTGTTGGTCGCTTACCCGTGCTCTTTGGTTGTGCCTGTTGAGGATTGTTGGTACCTTCACCTGCAAGCTGTGAAATAAAAAAATACAATGCGTCCACAATGTAACAATGATCGTCAACTCGCATAACATTACTAACCCCCTCAAACCTAAAGATAGTCAATGACATAACCTTTCAAACCTAAAATTTTAAAAACATGATTCATATACCTGACTTATATCTTCATCCACCAGATTGTGTTTGTTTTTCTTTGGGGGTCTCCCTTTCCGCTTCGGTATTGGTGGATTGGTAGCAGGAACAGTACCTTAGCCCTAGTGCAAAAAAAAATGAAAACAAAATTGTGTGAATTAAACTTTTAAAGCAAATATAGGGGAAAAGAAAAACACAATAGAAATTTTGGTACATTTTCAGGTGGCTGATTGGCTTTTTCAAGTAGCTACGGGTAGTGTCTCCTGATATGGCCTTGCACTTTACATTTGCTACATTTGTTAACACCTGTACCCTTCTTACGACTTGATTTCAAAGATACCCTCTTGTTCTTTCTCACAGGTTCGTCCTTATCCTTGTTCCTGCAACCTTTGGGTTTACCAATCTTTATTTTGAATTCTGGGGGTTGTAGTTGTGGACCATCAGACTTTTCTAGAACTTTCTACCATTAACTGGTGCTATAATGTATGTATATGCCCTCTCATATACCTCCTTGGAGTAAAACTTGTCAACTTATTTATCCACTTTCTCTCTATTCTCAATAATAACACTGGGAATATGGCAACCTGTGAAATCCCACTTTCTACAAGCACACGTCTTATCTTTCAAATTCACCACGTATTGATCATCAGAATCAATAGTACGAACCTCAAACTAAGGACCCCCTGCATGAAGCACACCATGACCAGCAACTTTCTCAGCATATTTTTCCAACCTTTTTTTAATCTTAGGACCCACAACAAATTTATTTCTTGGTAGCCACTCCCTCTTCTTCTGCCCTCTCTTGGTTAAGTACACTCGGAGCCATTCTAGCATTCCAAGAATTGGAAGCTCCCTACCATGCAACATTGCTCTATTGAAACCCTCACAGACATTGTTGGTTAACATATCACCCCTGGGTGCTGTTGTGAAGTGTGACCTACACCAAAAAGAAAAATCTTGTCTCTTTAACCAATTCCAAGCAGCTTCATCATGTTCTTTTAGGGGTGCCATTAATTCATCAAACTCTTCTTTGTAACTTGCTTTTGCAATTTTAAAAAGCTTTTGCTTCGAAAGAAGTCCAGGGTGATCGACTTTGAAGTTGGACCACAAATGATGCACACAATGTCTATGCGAGACTGCTTGAAAATTAGACTTAACAGCTGGCAATAGACCCTGAAAAATAAATACTCAGCATCAAAAATTCATAATGTTACAAATAAATAAATAAAAAGCCAGCACAAAAGGAAATTGAATATTATTTTTCTAAAAAAGTAAATTTTAGAACTCTTAAATTGTTACCTTCTGGCGGTCTGACATGATAACCCAATCAGAGGAGTTTTCAATCTCGCAATCCTTAACCCAAAAATTGAGGAACCACTCCCAAGAATTTGTGCTCTCTATCTCCACAACAGCAAAGGCAACTGGAAACATGTAATTGTTTGCGTCAAACCCAACAACTGTTACTAGAATACCCCCAACGACAGTTTCAAGAAAAGTCCCATCGACACCTATTATCTTTTGACAACCTTCTTTAAAGCCCCTTTTGGATGCTTTATAGAAAAGATTTAACCTCTTAAATGTATCAGGATGCTCAGGGTCCTTCATCAACTCAAAAGTGGTGCATGGGTTCGCTTTCTTTGTTTCTTCGATGTTACCCTCCAACATTGCATACTGATCTTCAATTCTGCCTCTGACCTTTTCCAGGGCCTTTCGTTTGGCCTTCCAAGCTTGAATTCTAGAAATGGATATCTTCTTCTCATTTAAAACCCTAAATTGCAGAGTTCCAACACTCATTCTTGGATCATTTGCGAAATCCACAACAAACCAGTCTGAAACTATATTGGAGTTGCAGTTCCTATTCTTCTCCAATACTTGGCTACAAGTATGTTTGTTGTGGCTATGGATCTCAAATGTTGGCTCATTTTCAGATATTTTAGTTCCATACACTTCCCAGTTACAGCCAGCAACACAATGTGCCCTAACAAAGTTTGGATCATTTTTTGCCATATGAATACCCTTCCTATCCACAATAGCATGTGTTTTGAAGGCTTTTAACAGTATCCACTTATCTCCAAATCTCTGATCGACTTCGAAAGTTGGGTTGTGCATCTCCTTCTTGGGGTTGAGCTCCCTGAATTTCTTGACTTCAACATGCTCCCCATCATCAGAACCTTTGACTTCATGCAAGTGGTCACAAGAAGCATAATCAGATTCTGAATCTCCTGCTGCACCATCATCTACATGTGCATAATGTAACAACCCCGGCTTATCGGTCCTATTTCTTTTTGTTAAATGCTTACCAACATAATTCTAGATCGATGAGTCGGGGTGTTACCACTTTGGCTAACCGCTAAAGCTATCAGGGTAAAAGGGTCGTAACATAAAGTAAAGAGATATTTAATTAGATGTTGGCAATTGCCAATGGGTACAATCGTACAGGTCCCTTATTTGCAAAAACAAGGTAGGTAACACAACCATAATCCTACCGTTATTACAAACTTGTAAACTAAAGACTAGCGTAACAATTCTATAGCAAGCATTCCTAGATACGATGATTCATCTGGCTCCACTCTCCTCCTGACTCTGCTTATGGGAGGGATATTTATATAAAATAAATGGGTGAGCGCCGAGCTCAATGAGGTCCATACTATTAGAGGTATGTACTTTGAAACAAAAATATTCACACATTTCAAAATATAGTTATGGGAATACATAACAGACAAGAGCATATTATTCCACACAAGCATTCGATAAAAACAAATTCAAAGGCAAAAGGAATAGTTTATCCCAAAGCCGATATGGCAAAAGTGGTTAAACCCTAACCCTAGCCGATTCAGTTAATTCCATTCAAGCCGTAAAAACCTGATAAGCTGTCAGAAGGAGCGACCTTTCTGACTAGGTACCAATTCAACTCAATTTCCACCCAACATGCCATGTCGTGACCGGATATCTCAAGAGAATCCTGAACAGCCACTGTTGGCAACGAACATGACCAAGCCCTATGCCGGCTCATGACACATTTGCTCAACTAGTCGCCTCGGGCCCTTAAGCATGCACATATAAATTCAAATATGGCTTATAGCCACACACAGTTCCACGTTTATCAAGCAATTAAGACAGACAACAAGTCACTCAGCAAATACACCCTAAGGCATATAAGATCACCTTTAGGGCTTAATAATATTATTCAAAAAACTTTTATTTTTAAAATGTGTTCATGTGTAGTGTTTTTTCAAATATATCCATACTCCAAGTTTTGAAATGATTTTAGAAAAAAGTGAGGATTACTCACAAGTACTATTTTTTTGGAGTTGTCGCCTCCGTGGAAGTGTTGCCTTTCTAAGTTAGAGATTTTGCTCTACTGTTGCTGCTGCGATAGCTTCTCCTCTGCAGCTGCTAGCTTCTCCTTCCTCCTCCTCCTCCTTTCTTCTAAATATAAAACGAAGAAACCTTCCTCACTCTTTTTCTTTCTCACTATATTGCTGCATTTTATTATTTTTTTCTTGTTGGTGTGTAAAGGGATGAGAAGCTCGGTTCTATTTATACTAGTTCAGCTCCAGATTTCTTGGCCTATAATTCTAGATCTTAGACCCGTTACTCACCACTTCATAGACCTAACAGCCCCTCCTTTCAACTGCTTAGTAAGCTTTATGTTTCAGAATACTCTTTGGCCACTAATCCAGCATTCCCCTTGCCTCCATGCCACGTTTATTTTTTTTCCTACCTTTGCTAATCATGTTGCTAAGATGAGCAAGCTTTTTGGTTCAGCAGGTGCTTATTAGTTTGTTTTATTTTTAGTTGTTAAATGATATATCCATATCTTCCTGCTCCTCTAATACAGCTTGGATGCATTCCACGTAGCTAAGGACTAACCAATCCTAGTATGTTAATGACTTGAAAATTTTGCTTACTCACTACTAGCCTTAGGGGGTAGGGGGAGCATGGTAAGCTGTCTAGTTCATGAAATTTTAGATTAGGAGCTCCATTGTTTTTCCACGTTATTCACCTTAAGGTTAAAATACATAAAGTGTCCCATTACTTGCTCAAAAACACATGAAGTGTTTTACAAGAATCTAAACTCTAAAATTACTTGCTCCTAATATAGCCTTAGGTAGTGTCCTTATTTTACTCTCTCTTTCTCCATCTCTTTTTCTTTTCTTTTTTAATCAACTAATTAAGTGATAATATATTAATTGTTATCCTAAAACTAAATTTGGTTTCTAACTATTTAAGATTTATTGGCATGTCTCACTATATATATATATGTACTTTTTTTTTCTAAGAACATTTCATATATATATTCTACATTACTAATTATTGAACAACAAATAAGCACAATCATTATTTGTTTAGTTTGCGTAAATATTAATCATTTTACGTTATAACTATCAATATTTACCTTCATACAACCGTAATAAGATAAAATAATAGGTTAAAATTTAAGGGGTGTTACACTCTCCCCTCCTTAAAAGAATTTCGTCCTCGAAATTCATACCTGAATCGACGAATAATTCTGAAGAGTTTTTCCTCATATCATCTTCTTGTTCCCAAGTTTCTTCCTCATGTCACCATGCTTCCATAAGACCCTAACTAGAGGTATCTTCTTGGTACGGAGCTCTTTGAGTTTGTAATCTAGGATCTTTATCGGCCGTTCGTCATATGTAAGATTCTCTTCTAACTCCAAGTCATCGTTATTAACCACATGCTCGGGGTCAGGTTGATACTTCTTCAGAACCGACACATGTAAGACATTATGTATTTTTGCAAGATGAGGGGGGTAAATCAAGTTGATATGCTACCTTTCCAATTCGTTTGGTGATTTCAAAAGGTCCTACATATCTTGGCCCTAATTTTCCCCTTTTTCCTTGCTTCAGTACGCCTCTATAGGGTGCTACTTTGAGAAAAACCTTATCACCAACCTCAAACTCCAGATCCTTTTGCCTATTGTCTGCATAACCCTTTTGGCGATCACGAGCTGCCTTTATCCGTGTTTGGATCACTTTCACCTTTTCTAGGGTTTCATCCATCCATTCATTTTGCCTAGCGTCCAAAGCTTTACGTTCTCCAATTTCATCCCAATGAAGAGGGGTTCTACACTTCCTACCATATAGGGCTTCATAAGGTGCCATTCCAATGGTGGTATTGTATCTATTATTATATGCAAACTCCACTAAAGGTAGGTGTTGCTCCCAGCTTCCTCCGAAGTCAAGTACACATGCACGCAAAATATCTTCTAGGGTTTGTATAGTACGCTCAGACTGTCCATCTGTCTGAGGGTGCGCACTAGTACTGAGTCGGAGTTGGGTACCAAGACTCTGTTAAAGTTGTTGCCAAAGTCGGGATGTGAACCTCTGGTCTCGGTCAGACACTATAGCCACAGGTGTGCCATGCAGTCTAACTATCTCTGCTAAATACAATTGAACAAACGGTCCAAAGAGTATGTCATGCTTATAGTTATGAAATGAGCAGATTTAGTTAACCTATCCCCAACAACCCAGATTGCATCGTGGTTCCTTAGGGTACGTGGTAAACCACAAACAAAATCCATGGTAACTATCTCCCACTTCCACTCAGGAATTTCTAGAGATTGTAACAGTCCTTCTAGGCGTTGATGTTCCAGTTTAACTTGTTGACACGTCATACAAGTGGCTACATATTCCGCTATATCCCTTTTCATATTATCCCAACAATAATAAGGTTTTAGGCCATGATACATTTTATCTCCTCCGGGATGAACAGTATAGGTAGAACGGTGAGCGGTTTCCAGAATGGTTTTCTTTAGTTTAGGATCCTTAAGAACATACATTCGATTCCTAAAGCACAAGATCCCATCCTGGCCTATGGTATAGTCTTGAAGCTCCCCTTTTGCAGCACGTTCCCTACGTTGCTGCAGGGTTGGATCACGTTCTTGAGCATCATTTAGTTGTTCTAGAACCAAGGGTTGGGTAGTAATACTACCAAAAACTTCCCATTCTGACAACACCATAGGGTTCCATTTACTGATGTCTTCTAACATGGTAGCTTCCCGAGCTTTTAATTTTGCTAATTGAACTTTTCTACTCAAGGCATCTGCTACCACATTGGATTTTCCTGGGTGATAGTTGATTTCACAATCATAATCTCCTAATAACTCCATCCAGCGTCGTTGACGCAAGTTTAACTCTTTCTGGGAGAACAAGTATTTGAGACTCTGGTGGTCAGTAAAAATCTCAAAGGTAACCCCATATAGGTAATGTCTCCACTTTTTCAAGGCAAATACTACCGTTGCTAATTCAAGGTCATGGGTTGGATAGTTTTGCTCATGGGATTTGAGTTGGCGTGATGCATATGCAATTACTTTTCCATTTTGCATAAGTACACAACCCAATCCCTCTCTCGAGGTATTAGTGTAGACCACAAAATTTTCGTTTCCACATGGTAGGACAAGTACTGGGGCAGAAGTCAATCGCCGCTTTAACTCTTGGAAACTCAATTCCGCCTTTTCACTCCAGGTAAACTTAGCCTCCTTACGAGTCAATTGGGTTAAAGGGGCAGCAAGTTTAGAGAAATCTTGCACAAAACGGTGATAATACCCCGCTAATCCTAAGAAACTACGTACCTCAGTAGGGGTTTCAGGTCGTTTCCAAGATAAAACAGCTTCAATCTTGGAGGGATCAACAAAAAATCCCTCCTTGGAGATAACATGTCCTAAGAAACGACACTTTTTCAAGCCAAAACTCACATTTGCTAAACTTAGCATATAGCTTGTGATCCTGTAGGGTTTGGAGAACTATCCTCAAATGGTGCTCATGTTCCTTAGGACTTTTTGAGTAGACCAAAATATCATCAATAAAAATAACCACAAAGTGGTCAAGGTAAGGTCTAAAGATACGATGCATAAGATCCATAAATACAACAGGGGCATTGGTTAACCCAAATGGCATAACAAACTCATAATGACCATATCGGGTATTAAAAGCAGTTTTCGGTATGTCTTCCTTTCTAATCTTCAACTGGTAGTATACTTGTCGAAGATCAAACTTGGAAAATACTGTAGCGCCTTGCAAATCGTCAAAGAGTTCATCTATAAGGGGTAGAGGATACTTATTCTTGATGGTTACATTGTTTAGACCTCGATAGTCAATACAGAGTCTCAATGTCCCATCTTTTTTCTTAACAAATAGCACTGGAGCTCCCCAAGGTGATGTGCTAGGCTGAATGAATTGGTGAGATAGTAAATCTTGCAATTGAGTCTTTAATTCATCCAACTCAGCTGGGGCCATACGGTAAGGGGTACGAGAGATTGGTGAAGTTCCTGGTAGTAGTTCTATAACAAATTCAATCTCCCGATCAAGTGGTAAAGAAGTCAATTATTCAGGAAATACTTCGTGAAAATCCTTGACTACGGACACGTCTTCTAGTTTCACCTTTTCCCTAGGTTTATTAATGAGATAAGCCAAGTATCTCGTTGCCCCTTTCGATAGTAATTTCCTAGCATGAGTTCCTGCTAACAAACCCCGACTACCCAATTTCTTATTTAGTTTAATGAGTGTTACGGGCTCTCCAGGTATGTTAAGCCTCACTTCTTTGGCTCGACAATCTACCTCAGCATGATACTTAGATAACCAATCCATTCCTAGGATCACATCATAGTCTTGAATGGCTAAAACACCTAGGTCAGCTAAAAGTTTTCGTCCCTGAACCTCAACCTCACAATCTTGATATTGAATATTTGTAATTACCAGTTGATTTGAGGGTGGAACAGAAACCTCCAGGTAATGCGATAACTGCTTATTAACAAGGTTTGATCCTTTGACATAAGAAGGTGTAATAAAAGAATGAGTTGATCCAGGATCTATAAGTACAATAGCTAGTTGATTGAGAACAAGCAGTTTACCTTCAATGACATCAGTCGGCTCAGGTTCAGATACTTGCTCCATAGCATAAACACGAGCTTGAACTCTAGGCTTTTTAGGATTGGCCTCAGGACGTCCAGCAGTAGCCCCAACTGCTGTGGATGGCTCAGGTCGTTTTTCAGCTCTAAAGTTTGGACAATCTCGTGCAAAATGTTGAAAAGTCTCACATTTCAGACACTTATTTAGCTTAGCCCAACAGTCATTCTCAGAGTGATTTGGTTTCCCACAAAAGTTACATATGGCAGGTTTTTGACCCATGGATCTAGGTTGGCTATTCACAGGCTTTTTCCCAAAATTCCTATTTCGTGTGGGCATGTTCTCCTCAGGTTTCAACCACTGGTTAGAGTTCTCACATCGCTGCTTGTGGAAGTTATGCAAATTAACTTGGCTATTCTCCACATGCTGTGCAGCATCTAATAGCTCCTCAAAGGTATTATACTTAGTTGCAGCCAACGAAGCCTGGATTTCCAATCTAAGACCTTGTGAAAACCTTATACGCCTTTCTTCATCTGTCTCAACCAACTTTGTGGCAAACTTAGAGAGTTTGGTGAAAGTAGACTCATATTCTAGTACATTGGCATTCCCTGGCGCAAGGAAATAAATTCCTGCTACTTGCGCTCACATACTAAGGCTGGAATATACTTAGCAGTAAAATCCTTAACGAAGTTGGCCCATGTACGTGGTGTTTGCTCCCTTTCCCAACGTACATTAATCAGCTTCCACCAAGATTTAGCTGCTTCCTCTAATTGGAACATAGCAAATGCAACCTGTCGATCCTCTGAATACTTTAGGGCAGTAAAAATCTCACCTATAGTTTCTATCCACAGTTCAGCCCTCTCATAATTGGGTTCACCATTAAAGCGAGGAGGGTTAAACTTCTGGAATCTTTCTAAAGAACATCATCTCCAAACTCCCTAGTATGGTTAGAACCATGTGGTGCTGATGTGATTGCTTGTGCAAAGTACTTACGAATTTCCTCAAGGGTTTGGGTTATTTGTAGGTTTACATTTCCAGAGTCTTGTCCAGTTTCAGATGTTCCAAACTGTTTTGCCATCTATATTTTAAAATGTGAATTAGTAAACTAATAAGAAAGGCATAAGAAGATTCATATACTAATAATTTATTTCATTTCACATAAAAGTTAACATAACATTGGTTCTAGATTAAAATAAAAGCAATTCTATCATAGTAGACCTATCATCTAATATAATACAACCATCCGAGAGATTAGAGAGGTTTAACAAAATTGTGCCTATCAAGTTAATCCTATCGTCTACTATAATAAAAGAGTCACATATAACTAGTCAACCATTCGAGGGACTTGGTGATATCAAAATTGTCCCTAGTAAGATAGCTGTAACATCTAATATAATAAACCATAAGCATGTCTAGTCAGAAATATCAATGATAGGCTCAGGGGGGCTGCTCGATCTCTAATATCCCCACCATGTCTCTCTCTGAATCCTCAGGCTCTCCTACTGGCTCTCCCTCGGGCTCCACCTCAAAGTCCCCATTCTGCATCTCAGACCCATCAAGTGATGCAATGTGCCTATTAGCATAATAAGAGAGTGCAGAAGCTCTAAAGGCAACGTCATCTCTATATCCCTGAAAGTCTTGCGCCAAACCGATCATCGTGTTTTGCAGGGTACCTATGTCCCTGTTTTTCTGATCTATAATATGATCCCGGCTGTGATAACATGGTCTCTCTGATCTAGGGCTTCTCATAACTGGAGATTTTCAATATCTGTCAACTCTAGATGTCGTATGTAATCTGCTAGCTGAGAATAGGTGTCCCATTCACGAGCCTCTGAGGCTTGGACTCTATCCTCTGCATCTAGAAGGTCATGGCCTAACTTCTCGCTTAGACCCTTATAATGCTCCATCTCCTCAATGATACGTTGAGTCACAGGATTCGGGATAGTATGTCCTACTAGCAGTCGAGCTGGTTGGGTGACTGCATGAGTGATATGAACCTGGTGAACTGTAACCGGGACAGGCACGACTACATGTACTAGCTGACTAGGCTGCCCACGCTCCATAACCTACAAAACCACAAAACCATGTCATTTCAAGCTTAATCGAGACAAACATCTTAGCAACATATCAAAAGGAAGTGCTCACTAAACCTTTTAATACTTAAATACGTCCCTACCATACTTTGCTAAGCGAACCTACGCTTTGAAACCACCTGTAACAACCCCGGCTTTTCGCTCCTTTTTTTTTTTTTTTGTTAAATGCTTACCAACATAATTCTAGATCGATGAGTCGGGGTGTTACCACTTCGGCTAACTGCTAAAGCTATCAAGATAAAAGGGTCGTAACATAAAGTAAAGAGATATTTTAGTAGATATTGGCAACTGCCAATGGATACAATAGTACAGGTCCCTTATGTGCGGAAACAAGGTAGGTAACACAACCATAAGCTTACCGTTATTACAAACTTGTAAACTAAAGACTAGCGTAATAATTCTATAGCAAGCATTCCTAGATATGATAATTCATCTGGCTCTACTCTCCTCGTGACTCTGCTCCTGGGAGGGATATTTATATAAAATAAAGGGGTGAGCGCCGAGCTCAGTAAGGTCCACACTATTAGACGATGTACTTTGAAACAGAAATATTCAAACATTTCAAAATATAGTTATGGGAACACATAACAGACAAGAGCATATTATTCCACATAAGCAATCGATAAAAGCAAATTCAAAGGCAAAAGGAAGAGTTTATCCAAAAGCCGATATGGCAAGAGTGGTGAAACCCTAACCCTAGCCGATTCCGGTAATTCCATTCAGGCCGTAAAAACCTGATAAGCTGACAAAAGGAGCCACCTTTGTGACTAGGTACCAATTCAACTCAACTTCCACCCAACACGCCTTGTCACGACCGGATATCTCAAGAGAATCCTGAACAGCCACTGTTGGCAACGAACATGACCAAGCCCTATGCCGGCTCATGACACATTTGCTCAACTAGTCGCCTCGGGCCCTTAAGCATGCACATATAAATTCAAATATGGCTTATAGCCACACACAGTTCCACGTTTATCAAGCAATTAAGACAGACAACAATTCACTCAACAAATACACCCTACGGCATATAAGATCACCTTTAGGCCTTAGTAATATTATTAAAAAATACTTTTATTTTTAAAATGTGTTTGTGTGTAGTGTCTTTTCAAATATATCCATACTCCCAGTTTTGAAATGATTTTAAGAAAAAGTGAGGATTACTCACAAGTACTATTTTTTCGGAGTTGTCGCCTCCGTGAAAGTGTTGCCTCTCTACGTTAGAGATTTTCCTCTACGGTTGCTGCTGCGATAGCTTCTCCTCTGCAGCTACTAGCTTTTCCTTCTTCCTCCTCCTCCTTTCTTCTAAATATAAAATTAAGAAACCTTCCTCACTCTTTTTCTTTCTCACTATATTACTGCGTTTTATTATTTTTTTCTTGTTGGTGTGTAAGGGATGAGAAGCGTGGTTCTATTTATACTAGTTCAGCTCCAGATTTCTTTGCCTATAATTCTAGATCTTAGACACCTTACTCACCACTTCATAGACCTAATAGCTCCTCCTTTCAACTGCTTCGTAAGCTCTATGTTGCAGCATACTCTTTGGCCACTAATCCAGCATTCCCCTTGCCTCCATGCCACGTTTATTTTTTTCCTACCTTTGTTAATCATGTTTGCTAAGATGAGCAAGCTGTTTGGTTCAGCAGGTGCTTATTAGTTTGTTTTATTTTTAGTTGTTAAATGATATATCCTTATCTTCCTACTCCTCTAATACAGCTTGGATGCATTCCACATAGCTAAGGACTAACCAATCCTAGTATGTTCATGACTTGAAAATTTTGCTTACTCACTACTAGCCTTAGGGGGTAGGGGGAGCATGGTAAGCTATCTAGTTCATGAAATTTCAGATTAGGAGCTCCATTGTTTTTCCACGTTATTCACGTTGAGGTTAAAATACATAAAGTGTCCCATTACTTGCTCAAAAACACATGAAGTGTTTCAAAAGAATCTAAACTCTAAAGGTACTTTCTCCTAATATAGCCGTAGGTAGTGTCCTTATTTTACTCTCTCTCTCTCTCTCTCTCTCTCTCTCTCTCTCTCTCTCTCTCTCTTTTTCTTTTCTTTTTTAATCAACTAGTTAAGTGATAATATATTAGTTGTTATCCTAAAACTAAATTTGGTTTCTAACTATTTAAGATTTATTGGCTTGTCTCAGTTTATATATATATATATATATATACTTTTTTTTCCTAAGAACATTTCATATATATATTCTACATTATAAATTATGTAACGACAAATAAGCACAATTATTATTATTGTAGTTTGCGTAAATATTAATCATTTTACGTTATAACCATCAATATTTACCTTCATACGACTGTAATAAGATAAAATAATAGGTTAAAATTTAAGGGGTGTTACACATAAGGGGCAAACTCAGTAGGCCTTCTCAAACTTGCCAAACCAAGGGTAATCTTCACCATCAACATCACTCTCCTCACCTTCATCGAAATATGCCGGACGTATGGGACTCGATCCTTCTAGCGGATCATATTCATTAAGATCACTCCTATAAATGACAATAGCTCACTTCTTCTCTGCAGCCATAAGTTCCGTAAGATATTTCAAATCTTCTTCGAAATTTAACCTCCTAATACCATCAAATTATGTCACCTTAGGGTTTACATAAAACAACTTGTGAGGCCTGCAGAACCCTACACGATCAATGAAGGTGTTACACTTTTCTAGATTAAGCTCCTCAGACCTCTTACTTCATCAAAATAATCAACCTCCACTTGAAAATAAACCAATTTTTCATTCTTGTTTCTCACGAAAGCCCCACTGTGATGAACTTTGACTATAATAAAGCAAGATTCTTCATCTGAAATAAAAAGAATTCCAGAGATTCATACACACGGTATTGAATTTTGAAAGTAAAAAAAGAAGAGATTAAAGTTATTTGACTAAGATATTTATGTCAACAGTAAAACCATCAGTATAATACACACAATTCAACAAACCCTAATTCAAAAAAAAAAAAAAGCATCTGAACTAAAAAACATGGCGCATATTGTATTTTATTCAAACATACATAGTTGATTCGTTTTTGGTACCAAATGTCCCTTAGTAACACAACAAGATGCTCACTGCCCAACTAAGAGAAAATCCTAACCCACCATTTACGTTAAACAACGGTAAAACCCATAACCATATTGCGAATACTAAATTAAAATCCAAAACCACAAGGAATGACTTACTGCATTCTGGAATTTCAGAGTCTTCATTCTCAGGACGAATGTAATCCTCGCCGCTCCACATCTTCAATGATAGTGACCCACTTAGATCTTTAAAACGGAATGGCGGCGATGTGAACTCCGACGACAAACTCAACTGCCTTCCGAATTCGGTTATACAACCCTACCCCCTTTGATGCTCTTTCAGGAAACCCTAACCCCCTTCGATGCAAATCTTAAGAGAAAACCCAAAATAACTCCACGCCCTCCAATTCCTAGCCCGTATTTCATATTAAAAAACAAATCTTTTCGAAGAAGTTTACTTATAGTCGATAACTAGACAAAAAACCCTAATCCCCCAAACTACAACTCTCTAAAGTTTCACTCTCCCCGAACGGCGATTGTGCATTTATTTTTTACTTAAGAAATATTTTGGGATGTAGAGTTAACTTGTACATCTTGGGATTGGGCTTTAACTTATTTAATAAAATATTGTTTTAGCCTAGAAACTGATATAATGGGTATTGGGCTCATAATAAACTAATATTATCTATGGGCTCTTAATAAAAAAATGGCCCGCAGTTAATGGCATTTTAATATTTTTTTCCGGTGCCCACAAATTGTCCCTCTGTCACCAGAAGTGCACCGTCCGGCGTAGTTCCGGCAATTGCCGACAAAATGACCGTCTGGCATTACCATCTTGGTCGGACCGGGTTAAACTCAGACAGGTGGTTGAACCAGCCTCCTTTTGGCGGTTAATTTTTAAATTTAAAATTCAAAATTTTGAAATTTTGAGCTTGGCAGGAAACACGTGCAAGTCACGTGCAAGAGGAGGGTGCCAATTTTTTTTGGATGCCCACTAACCCGGTCAAAACAAGTGCCTTCCACGTGTTCCAAGGTTGACCATTCACTTTTGGATGGAAATGTAACGGAAAAGTGAAAGCATACGAAAAAAAACTTTTTTGGGGGACTTGAGGACGTTTCATCCTTTTAGTTTTGAATAAATATAGTCGGTAACTTTTTGGGACTTTAGGGGTAATAAATTCTATTACTTTTTATCATTTTATCGGAGTCTCCTTTCACTCCACCACGAATCATAATATATAGGCAAGTAGAAAAAAGATTTCTAAACATTAAATTTAAGTTCAAATTGATCAATCTAAAATGTTAATTACTTCGTGAATTCAATGAATTGGAAATTTATACAGATTCCATTTTGGAAAAGATAAATATCTATGATGAGGAAAGATAGAACAAAGTATAGTCAATTGTGGAAAATATGGTGCAAAATGTCTTGTCGTAGGAAAATGAATGAATTAATATGATTTCAAAAGATAAGAAATAAGGAAAAAGATAATGCTAAACGTAACCGATTATATATAGGTTCCCCGTGACTATTATTTTTTCCTTTTGTTTTGATTTTATAACATTTACAATAACATCTTATCATCTAACAGTTAACATTACTTAATTGAACCATCAAATTCATTGGATTATATACATCCCCTCTCCCTACCCAAACACACATGCATATATATATATATATATATATATATATATATTTATTTCTCGTAATGTTACTCTCACGATATAAATATAGAGAAAATATTTTAATTACCACTTTACAATGTACGGCAACATTTGTGCTTTTGAGAATCTATACATTTATGCATAAGGAAGGTTTATAAATGACACGTGCTCAAGGGGAAGTCTAGAGCCAAATAAAGATGCCTGTTAATCCCACATCCCTTCTTCAAAGTATTTAAAAAATATATATAAACTAATGAAACTAAATTTTTAACCTTACAAGATCTGAATTTTTTCCTTTTTTTTACAATTTTTTTCTTGCTCTGCTACTTTATCTTTGACATACAATCACTTACACAAGTAATTAAATATGTATCATCAGCATATTAACCTATATAAGGAACTTATATAAACAATTAACAAGTTTTAATTTTAATACAATTTAAAATTTACTACCACATACATAACCCGAATCAAATTTCACCGCTTTTGCTAATCTAGCTAATACCATGCACTGGAGATATTCCATTAATTCCAACTAATCAGAACAAAATGTGCTTGACGACATGATCAATGCCTATCTGATCAATGTAATCATCAATTATGACCAAAACTAAAACCCCTAATGACTAACCTTTCTAATCATTATAAATATCATTTTTTATTGCTTCTTTTCCTCGGTAGATCTACACCAAAAACTATATAGCATCCTAAAACAAACTGGTCATATCACATGGTGTTAAAGTTCAACTACGCACATGGTGTTAAAGTTGAACTACACTATATATATATATATATATATATATATATATATATATATATAATTAAACTCTTTAACTGGTTGCGGATGAAACATTAAGATAAGGATTTGAATAGTATGGTAATCTGAAATTTATATTTCATCGATCATATTGTATTTTGGATGTGTTAATCGTTATTCTTATAATCAATTTTTGATAACAAGAAACAAGATTGTTTTCAATATAATCAAGAGGTTACTTGATTTGCAAATGGATAAATCTAAATATGTTATGGCAAAAAGTTGTAATGTCAACAAATTTCTGCTTATTCTCCCTCAAGAAATATTTTTGAAAATCTATGATTTATCCTAACAGCCATCGACTCTTGGCTTAGACCAGCCAAAATGTTGATTGAATAAAGTAGTTAATTACTGGTCATAATAACAAACTGAAGTTATTGGTTTTTGTGTGAGGTGCATGATAACAAATGGACCATATAGGGATTGAGGTTAATTATAGTGATTTTCTACTTACTCTTTTGATCCCCAGCCCCCTCCCAAACACCAAAAGATTTATAATTACCTTAAATACTCAATTTCAGTAAAGGACTTGTGTAACGATTCTAATTTCCTAACGAATAAAATCACAATATAACTAAGCACTACTTGAATCTTTATCACATCATCCTGATACTTGCAAAACATTTCTTTTCTATGTGGCTAGTGGCTACTAAAAGGAGCCACTTATTACGATGTAATTATTTATAAATGAAGTATCCAACAGTTTTCTAGCACTCTAACGGTTCCTTAATCCTCGATCATACCATTTGCCACAAAACCATACAAGAAAAAGGGTGAGCTATGGACAGTCCATGAGCAACCACGTACAAGTGTGCACATGTTTTCAAATAAATTTTTTTAACTAATAGAAAGGAAATAAATAACATTGAAAATCAATTTCAAATTCAGCACATGGATGCAAAACGTCAACCAATAGCACATTACACCTCGAATAATTCCGGGTTCAATTTCATTTGTACATGCCACCATCCTATGTGCGAGATTTTAACAACCTCACATGCTGAATCACTCACATGGCAATACATAGAATATTGCCGAAAAGCCTATACCGCATAGGATTAAATCTCTCCACCGGAGGGCCAAAATCCTTGAGAACATCCTAGTTCACAACCAAATCACATCATAGAATTGAAGTTCACTCGAATACTTGAACGACACGAAAACACCAAATGATTCACTCAAATAACTACTATATCACATTTAAGATCGTAGGTGAAATAAAATATAAACAAAAAAAAAAGACAATTCAAAAATATGTTAAATATTTGATCAACTTAATAAATTCCCTTATCACACAACATAATTAATTAGTATGTAAACCTCCTCAAATGAAACAATTGGAGAACTTTGTAAAATCCCATACGTCTTTGGCCAAAACTCCTAGGATTTCCAAAACATCGTCTAACTAAATTAGATTTAATATACGGGAAGATAAAGAGATATTGAAAACAAAGAAAAGGTAAGGTATTTTGTTGTGCAAAATAACTATTTTGTGGGCTGAAAACACTTATGAAAGCAAGAGAAAAAAAAAACAACCATAGTGAATTTCATTTTTTTTATTAAATCAGAAAGTGAAAAGCTTGGCAAAGTTAACATGTTTGGTTCCCAATTCCCATTGACTCAATAAAAGAATTTATTTTTATTTTTTGGGTTTTGCTAGACTAGCAAAAAGTGGAAAGCTTTAGATGAAGTCTTGGAATGAAAATAAAATAAATGCTTTCCTGATTTCATCCCAATCTGGCGTCCTTCTTCATCTCCTTTGTGAGATGATGGGTGTAAGGTTTTGGGTCTGTTTAATTTGAAATCGTGCGAAACTCTTTAGTTGGTGCCTGGATACTGGCCCTCGGTGCTGCTGCTCAACCGGAAATTCATCAATTTTTGAAGCTGCCTCCAAAATTGGGCTCTGGATTGCTGATTGTTGTGGATGCTTTGAATATTTCTGCTAATGGCAAGGTTAGAAAATACATTGCCTTCACTACAGATTTCTTTAACTGTAATTTCTCTCTGCATATTCAAGTCATGGGTATTGCCATCCCGAAAGTTGTCGTAGGTGGAGAGCTACTCAAAGGTCAATTGAAAGGTCTCCAGCAAACTGTAACCAAAGCCATGACAAATGGAGTCTCTACAATTATTATAATTTTGAACCTAGTTCCTCCTCAAGATACCGGGATTCAAAACAATGCCTGTAGGAAGAAGCGTAGTCAAAGGAAGAAGGGACATGGCCACGTCTTTTCCCATAATGAGGTTGTTAATTCACCGGGAGAGCGAATGGAATGGAAGAAAGTACTCTCGCCTATGTCTTCTGCGGTTTTGGTTGGTACAGATATTTTTGAAGGGGTTCCAAAGCCAAAGGCATCAATTCCAATGACACATTCGGAACAGGAAATTTTGATGGACTACACCATTGCAATTAATACTCTCAACCCAGAGGATAAGCCCACTCTTAAAGATGCAGAAGCTCAGTGTATCAATATGGCTGGCGATGGGCAGAATGCTCTTTTAAAGGAGGACTCTACATCCTTACTTTATGAGGCTGATGCGCATCAATGGTGGCAGGGTAGAAAGATTTTCACTTCAAATAGGTGAGCGAAATTTAAAAAATCAGGTATTCGTCGGATGATAAAAAAATGGGAAGTTGAAAGACTTAGACTTTCACCAGGGCACCGAGGTTCATGTTGTTTCGGGATTAAGGAAAAAGAAGAAAGCAGAGGCAGCTTTAGTGGGGGAAATCAAACTTTATAAAAAGAGAATGCTGCAACAATATGGATGCCAGGATGTGTGAACACAGATGTCTTAGCCACCTTAGCCTAGACAGGACATATGATTGCAGGGGACTCCAAAGTGGCTATTTCAGCATCAGCTTTTCGCAGCTCATTGCTTACTACGGTAAAAGGTAATATTTCTAACATTTTGAAGTGTTTTGCTGCGGTTGAACCAGATCAACTGCCTTTGGTTTCATGAATGTTCTTTCATGGAATTGTAGAGGCAAGAATAATGCCTCCTCTAAGCATGTATTAGGTAGATTAGTTAAACAATATAACACTTGTATTTTGTTTGTAATAGAAACTAAAGCCAGTAGGACAAATGTAGATGTCTGGCAGGAATATAAACCTAGTATTTTGTTTGTAATGGAAACTAAAGCCAGTAGGCAAATGTAGATGTCTGGCAGCAATCATCGATTTATAATAATTCTGTTGTAATTGATTCAGTAGGTCTTACTGGAGGATTAGGTCTCTTTTGGATAGATGGTGTCCGGCTTAGTGTGCTTATGCAAAACTCAAATGTAATAGTAGTTAAAGTATGTGAAGCAACAGGGGTAGAGTGGTTAGATATTTATCTATACGGTCTTCCTTCTCGGCAAGGAAGAACTGAATTTTGGAACCAACTGAGTGACACCATTAGAGGCTTAAATTATCCAAGTGTTATTCTTGGAGATTTTAATCAGGTTGTTAATCAGGATGATAAGTTTGGGGGCAGACAAGTAAGAGATCAAGATACCAAAGGACTTCAGCATTTCCTCTCACAAAATGATCTTGAAGAACTGAAGCATTCGGGCCGTTGAAACACCTGGACAAACAAAAGACAAGGTCAGGATTCCATTTTTGAACGTTTGGATAGGGCATTTCTTGACCCATTTTAATAAGGCTATTATCAGAAACCTTCCCATTATGAGTTCCGATCATGGTCCTATTCTTGTGGAGTTGAGGGGGAAAAGGAATAGAAATCAAAAGAGAAGGTTTGAAAAATTTTTGTCAAACTGTGCTCGTTCTTTTGATTTGGTTCAACAATTTTGGTCTCAAGGAGGACTACATATAGATAACCAGCAGGAGAACTTGTCTTTTAAATTAAACAAAAGTCTTCATAGTCTTCACAGGTGGAGCAAGGATCAATTTGGAAACATTGACAACCTCATCTTGAAACTTTCTGACAAGTTGATGATCACACAGCAGCAATGGGAGGCCAACAAATCTAATGCAGAATTATGGACTCACCTAGAAAGTCAGCGAAAGGAACTTGAGGAAGCGCTGCAACATCAACATGACTACTGGCAACAAAGAGCTAAACTGGTATGGCCATTACAGGGGGATAGGAACTAAAAATTCTTCCACAAATGGGCAGCCCGAAAAAACAGAACAAGTGGATTACAGAATTTATATGTCAAAAATGGATACAAGATCCAACTCAGCTAAGGTCAAAAATGGAAATGGCGCCTGGATACAAGATCCAACTCAGCTAAGGTCACTGCTCCAAAATCACTTCTATGAAATTTATATGTCAATGGAGTCAAGTACACAGAATGCTCAGTCCTCTCAATACTTGAATGGTCTTTTGGACAATGGAGAAGAGTTCTTATCTTCTGAACAAGTTAGTTTCGTGGATCAACCCTTCATTGAGGCTGAAGTCAGGAGAGCAATAAAGCGAATGGCTCCATGGAAATCTTCCAGACCAAATGAGATGCCAGCTGGCTTCTACCAGAAGTACGAAAATGTCATAGGCAATGAAGTGTCATCGACCATTTTGGACGCCATCAACGCACAAAGCTTTCCTCCCGAATGGAATCAGACAAACCTGGTCCTTATTCCCAAAACCTCCAATCCGATAACTCCTAATGACTTTCATCCCATTAGTCTATGTAATGTCAGATACAAGATTATTACCAAGATGATCACAAATAGACTAAAACATGTCATGAATGATCTCATTGATGAGCATCAAAATGGGTTGTTCCTGGTAGAAATATTAGTGAGAATAATCTCATAGCACATGAGGTTATAGAATATATCTGGAAAAAGGAGGGTGATACAGGTGTGGCTGCGATCAAGCTAGACTTGAGCAAAGCTTATGATCGAGTGTCTTGGTTTTTTCTAAAGGAGGTTTTGCTCAAAGCTAGATTCCCTCCTCGCCTTATCTCTTTGATTATGCATTGTGTCGCCACGGTGACCTATTCCATCCAATTTAATGGGGATGGTCTACCCTTCTTCTCCCCCAACAAAGGTCTTTGGCAGGGCTGTCCACTCTCTCCTTATCTTTTTATACTGTGCCAGCTAGTGTTATCTTCAGCCATCACATCAGAGATACGTCTCTTCCTAGGTCTAGGGGTCAAAGTCAGCCACAATGCCCCAAGGGTAAGTCACCTTAAATATGCTAATGACAGTCTTTTCTTCATTGAGTACAAAGAAACTTCAGTCCTTGCACTGGCTGGTCGGACTGAGGAATATGCCGCCTTTTCTGGACAACGTATCAATTTCCTCAAATCTTCAATTTTACTCAGTCCCAATACAAAACCAGAAATGAAGAACTTTGTTCACTCTATTTTGAAAATACTTGGGGGTCATTTTCTTAGTAAATATCTGGGAATGAGTCTAGACTTCAAGGAGAGAAAGAGAACCATTTTTCAGAACTTCACCAGCAGGCTTAGCAATAAATATGCTGATTGGAAAACCAAACTCTTTTCTTTGGCGGGAAGGGTGACACTGGCAAAGTCAACTCTATCATCCATGTTAGTCTATCCAATGGGTGTTTTTAGGCTCCCGGCATCCACGATCCAGAGGGCTGATCGGATCATTGGACGCTTTATCTGGAGGGGTGACAGCATCGATAAAGGAATTCATTGGAGAGCTTGGAAAAAGATATGTAACTCACAGTTCCATGGTGGGTTAGGTCTCAAGTCAACTAAAGAGTTTAATCAAGCCTTGTTAGCAAAGCATGCCTGCAAAATCATGTCTGCCCCAGAATCATTGCTATCCCGTCTCTATAGAGCAAAATATTGCAACAATGGACTGTTCCCTTCTGTACAACCTCCCAGAAAACCCTCCTGGGGATTCAAGAATATCATGTGGGTAGCAGACCTTCTGCAAAATCATACTAAATGGAAGGTCATTTCAGGAAGGGATATCCCTCTATCAGCTAACTGGATACCTAATACTCAGAATCCGATTGGGGCTCACTCCATTTTAGCTATGTCTAACTTGACCGTGGATCAATTTCTTAATCCCAATGGTCATTGGAAGACTCATGCTTTTAGAAACTTCTTTCCAGATCATATTACCCTCACATCACTAGGATTTTTGTGGATCCGACAAGACATCATAAAAAAGATAAGCTCTAATGGACTCTTACAGAACATGATGATTATACAGTCAAATCAGGATATCAATTGGCTGTCAACACCCTGCTTCCACAACCTGTGCCAAGTCTAGCAGCTCAAAATGTAGAGAATTTAGTTTGGAAAAGACTGTGGAATTCTGGAGTTCAACCTAAGCACAAGTTCCTTTTCTGGAGAGCATTACTCAATGTTGTTTCTACACGATCAGAACTATGTAAAAGGGAGTTCAAGTGGACTAAATATGCCCCAAATGTGGCAGACAGGAGGAGGATAGCTTACACTTATTTTTTAAGCGTGAAGCCTCTCAGGCCATTTGGGCCTTGGCTTTTCCTTTATTTGGCTCTATATTCAACTCCACGTATGACTCCTTATAACTTTTTACCTAACTAATTACCATCCCATTAAGTTTGTGGTTATCTCAAAAGTTATCCACTAAGACACTATTCAACATTTTAGTTTTTATCAGGTAGTTAATTAATATCTAATTTATCCTAACTTGTCATTACTAATTGAGTCCTAACTTAATTAAATGATTAATAATTTTTTTATGACTACTAAGAAAACCAAAAAATAAAAATAAAAATAACCTGGGGTCTCACAATCTTCCGTTCTTAAATAAATTTCATCCTCGAAATTCTTTATTTTATTTTGCCTTGTACTTCAAATAATCCCGGGGTAACTTTTTCTTCATTTCATCTTCCAATTCCCAAGTAGCTTCCTCGACTCCGTCGTGATCTCATAGAACTTTCACCATATGAATATTTTTGGCTCAACTAATTTGTCTTTCAATCTACAATACGCAAAGATTTCTCTTTGTATACTAAGCAGGCCGGTTTCGGATGCATCACGTGAGTAGGATCAGGAACATATTTTCTTTATAAGGAAACATGAAACAAATCATGTATACCACATAGAGAAGAAGGAAGAGCCAATCGATAGGTCATATTTCCAATCTTTTCCAAAACTTCAATTGGTCCTACAAATCTCGGGCTTGATTTTCCTCCTTTGCAATGCTTAATTAATCCCCTTGTGGAGACAATCTCAAGAATACTTTTTCACCTACCTAAAATCAAGTCTTTTCTCCTTCGGTCCGCATAGCTCTTTTGCCGGCTTTGAGCGTTAGCTTTTGAAGATACTGTTTAACTTTGATGGTAAAAAGATCATCAAGATACTGTTTAACTTTGATGATCTCAGCTTTTGAAGAACTAGTTACCAAGACATCATCAACATACACAATCAGAATAATGCATAAGTCCTTCCTGATCAGAATAAACAAGCAATGATCTATATGAGATTGCTGAAACCAAAAGAGATTAGTTTGGAAGTGAATTCAACGTTTTATTGACGAGATGCCTGCTTGAGTCCATAAAGAGACAACTTTAATCGACATACTTGATTCTTTCCAGCCTTGGTATAACCTGGTGGAGGATGCATATATACCTCCTCATCAATGAAGCAAGAATGCGTTGTTCACGTCCAGCTGGTGAACATGCCAACCTTTCAATGCAGCAATGGCAATGCATAGCCTAGGCTAATTGTCATATTCTTGGCAACAGGTGAGAAGATCTCATTGTAATCCTCTCCCTCAACTTGTGTAAACCCCTTAGCCACCAACCTAGCTTTCTAGCGATCAATGGATCCATCCGGCTTACACTTGACCTTGTAAACCCATTTAGAACCAATGGCCTTTTTGCCTTTAGGAAGTGATGTCAATTCCCATGTGTTTTTATCCTCTAAAGCCTGGATTTCTTGCTTTTATGGCATCAATCCAGCGTTGGTTGGTCCTTGCATCATTATAGCAGTAGGGTTCCTGGACAGTAGACAAGTTTGCCACAGAAGACATATGCATGCTAGAAAACATGCAGTTATCATGAGAGAAATGCAAAAGTAAATAACCATCAACGCATGAATTGAAGCATTTAAAATCCTGCATCCAAGAAGGAGGTTTATGAACACGATCATTATACCTGAGAACATGAATGACAGGATCATGAGAAGAAGAAGTTGAGGGAAATATAGGTTCAGTTGAATAATCATTGAGATTAGGGTTTGAACTTAAGGGACTTTCAGTTGTGTGAGAGGAAGAATTGTCAATAAAAGATGATAAAGGAGAAGTTGAAAAAACTGAGTCAGAGGGTATATTTAGAACAACTGATTGTATACTACCATCAGGAAGACAAATGGGGGTATATTTAGAAACAGAATGATAATGCAACATGAGTTCTAATTTGCACCACATATGTCCTGTGGCACCCAAGTTTGAAATCCAATCATCCCTACTAATATGATCAACTTGTGATGCACGTTTAGACAAGGTTGTACTACCTGCAAAATCAGTGAAGTGAGCGAAGTTGACAGCATCTGAAACCATGTGTCCCTTGCCTTTCATCATCCGTCCAATCTCCCTTTGCACAGCCTCTGCAATCACTGATTTCAGGTTCCTGTCATCAAACTCC